CTCCGCACGGCCCAAGATTTCCGCAACGCGCACCTCGGAAAATTTCTAACCACGCGGACGGTCGGACGCGGAAAAACATGGCGGACCGGCACGACAGAGGTTCGTAAATACAGACATTTGTATGATTCCGCTCTCAGAGATCACCGTGATCAACATGTTGTTAATAATTCTTGGAGAGAAATAGCTCGCACTGTCGGAAAAGACGAGAACGCTGTTAAAAATGCTGAAATACCATGTTGTAAACAGTGATTTCTACTTCTACTATGGTGTAGTGTTGGATGCATGCCGTAGAGCTCCATGCTGCCCCGTTCAGTTTGGGAGAATATTGGCTCACCGCAGAGACGAGCCGCACGAACCATAAACGCTGCAAGTTGTGAAGCGCGTTCCAGCCGCGAGCTGCATCACCGCGCGGAAAGTGAATGCGTCAAGCATAAACCAAGCTTAAGTGTGCATTTGCAAGGAATGTTGTTGGTGGAAGTGTTTAAATTGCAAAATAAGATTGAGATGCAGGCAGCCACGGGACTGCAGAGATGGGAACCACCCCCGCACATCCCGAATTTACTCACACTCCAAAGCCTTTTGCAGGCTTATGGGGCAGAAGGACATGTTATTTGGAAAGTATGACAAAAAAAAGAGCATGATTTAAGCAGGAAGTGACCAAATAATGTAAATCATTTTATGTTCATTACACTGTGATCAAAATTGAAATATAAGCTTGAATCTGAAGGTAAGTTGTTGACATTCTGCCAAGTAGATACCCAACCTTAACAACAACAACAAGCTAATGATACTGATAGCATATTTATATAGATCAAGGGCAGTCCTTTAAATTAAATGAAAAGGGTTTAATTAAGATCCTTGAGGAATACCGAATGATGGCACCACATTATTTATGATTATTAACATGTAACATGTATTCTAGTCTTCATACTTCTAACTGACTACTTTAAAGCAACACCATTAAAACCTTGTTTTTTTGTTCCAATAAAAAGTTCTTGATATCCCAACAAAAAAAAATAAAAATTCTGCTTTTACTCGTGTCAAATTAAACAGGGGAAATGCTTTTTAGTGCTGTGTGCTTTAGTGCCTTCTGTCAGTAGATTGGGGGGTTTTAGAGTCTCTTTGGCAGTTGTTTGAGGGGTGGGCTCTTTCTTGGCAGAAAAACCACATTTCCCAGCCCCCAAACGCCCATTTATAGCCTGGTGAAAGTCCTCGTGACCCTGTCAGTTACTCCTTGTTACAGCAGATACAAGTAATCAGTGAGAGGAAAAGACTCGTTCAGACAATTAACACTAAAGACGTGTGTTTTTACCAGGAGACATCAGCCAGACTGACCAGGCTTTAATGTTAGTGATGCAACAGTTGAAACTGACTATCAGCGTCACTCTAAAACCTAGAAACAAAAACCAATGTCACTTTGCCAAAGAACCAAAGGCAGGAGGTTCCCAAACGCTGACAAGGACTAGAAACATCCCAAATAAAGAGTAAAATGTTGTGAAATATCTGAATTCATTTTATAGTTCTGAACTATGAAACCACAGTCTTCTCCAATTTCATTGTACAAACAGGTATGAGTTGCTATGAACAGAAATATTTGGGAGAATTAAAAAATCGATTTACATCCATTTACAGTCTAATTATAACCATTGAATGATTTTACAGTAAAGTGATGGATGGATTAGTGGGTGGGTGAGTAGATGGATGAGTGATTGGCGGGCAGGTGGGTGGATGATTTTGAATGTTCCTTAAAAATGAAACCATCTAAAAACCAAATACCTTAAAAACTTCAATGGTAAAAAGGACCTTGACCTTGTTTGGTCAGCAGCAGGTTTGTACAAACTGGAATCAGTGGGAATCTGTCTGCTGCTATGATGTGAGCTCTCTCTCTCTCTCTCTCTCTCTCTCTCTCTCTCTCTCTCTCTCTCTCTCTCTTTCTCTCTCTCTCTCTCTCTCTCTCTCTCTCTCTCTCTCTCTAAGTTTTTTCTTCTCTTTCTCAACCTTTCACTAACAGCCAAGGATGTTGGACTTCAGCCCAGCATGTAAATTAATCTGCCATTTCCAACAATTTCCATCAGGAGCCATTCAGACTGTGTAGAAGGATAATTTGACAGCAGCCCACTGGGAAAGTGGCCAGTGAGACAGTAATGTTTGATTTATTTAATATTTTTACTCTCTATGGTTTGTTGTCTTGTACAAAGGCCCCAGCTGGATGTGATAGAGATAAAAGATCAACAGGATAGATGGGTGAGTGGATGGACGGATTGATGGATGGATGGATGGGTGGATGGGTGTACAGATGGATGGATGGATGTGTGTCTGGATGGATGGATGGATGGATGAATGGATGGATGGATGGATGGGTGGATGGGTGTACAGATGGATGGATGGATGTGTGTCTGGATGGATGGATGGATGGATGAATGGATGGATGGATGGGTGGGTGGATGGGTGAGTGGATGGACGGATTGATGGATGGATGGGTGGGTGGATGGGTGTACAGATGGATGGATGGATGGATGTGTGTCTGGAGGGATGGATGGATGGATGGGTGGGTGGATGGATGAATGAATGAATGGAATGATGGATGGATGGATGGATGGATGGGTGGGTGGATGGATGAATGAATGGAATGATGGATGGATAGATGGATGAATGAATGAATGGAATGATGGATGGATGGATGGACACATGGATGGATAAACAAATGGACAAATGAAAAATTGGCCAAGTCAACTATTAAGTGAAACTTTAAACTGTTAAAATAAATGAAATAATTTGTTTCAGGAACAAGTAGATTCACTTCACTTCTGTTTATTTATAAAGCGCCAAACCATGACGAGTCGTCTCAAGGCCCTTCCATGGATAAATGGATTCACTAATGGGAAACCAAACTGTATGAAATCATGAAAAAGGTTCTGATTAGCTCAACTGGAAACACCAAAAACATAATCTGCTGCTGTTGAAATCTACATATTTTAGAAATGAATTCATAATTAGACGGAGAGACGAGTGGACGACCACACAACAGACGAATGAATGAACAAAACCGTCAAATTACTAAATTTTTATAAAAAGATCCAATTCATCAACCGAAGAAGTGGTGAATGAGTGAATAAAGTCTCCTCCAGGACACATTTGGAATGAGGCAGATATGACTGGTAGCTGTGTGTGTGTGTGTGTGTGTGTGTGTGTGTTCTGAAGGTTGTCGTGGCCAGATTCTGTCCCCATGACAGAACAGAAAGAATCCAAACAAACGAAGGTCCTTCCAAGTCTGAACACCAGTATGAGTCCTTCAGAGGCCACGCTGGGATGTTTGCTTTGTTCTCGTACACTCTACCTTCTGCTTCCTCCTCGCTCAAAACATCCATCCAACCAGGAAAAGAAAAAAAAAAACAGACCTGAATCTCTGACACGAGTTTCGTTTGCTCTGACTGCCTCTGCTGACGACTAGACCTCCAGATACTAGACTAAGGCTTTATGGGAATGGTGTGATGACCCCAACTCCTGAACAACCGTCGCCTCGGTCAGCGAGCCTCAGGGCAGCTGTGGCTACAGCATCGCTCATGACCTCGGGGTGTGAATGGTTTACTGTAGTGTAGCTTCCTCTGACTCAGAAAGAGGTTATGCCGGTTTTACCAAAACCCCGATCAACCAACACGAAGCAGGTCCGGATCGTATAAAACACCTGTAGTTACAAACTCCCCCATCAGCACACAGCAGCTGATTTACTGAACAGATGCAATCTTCTCGTTTTTCCACCATCTTTCATCTCATCCAAACCTTTCTATTTGGTTCATTTATTCTATGTAGTCATGGAAATCTGTAACAGCCTTTAGCATAACTTTGGTTTCGTTAACGCAGAGCTTTGATAAGTTTTAATTAATATAGGTTTGGAATAAAAATAAAATGAATCCACAACATCAGACTCCACATGTTCGACAGCTTGTGCTGGAATAAATTTGGTGTGCGTGTCTTTTAATTGGTGGTCATCAAAGTAACGCGATTAAACCTGCTTCTGTTTCATATCCCAATAGCAGAATCCAATCTCAGCATCTGCAAATCGTAGTTAGCATGAATGCATATGGTCCACGAGCAAACAAAGCTTTCACCATGGAGAGCCATGAACCTCATGGTGAAGTGAATCATTTGGTTTATAAAGTTGGATCAAGGTGGCCAAGTTAAGACTTCTCAGACAAAACATTCAAATCAGACAGATGTTGTTTATGGCTGTCAGGAGGCTCAACCGTTTAACTCACTATTTTCACAGGTTTAAACTAAAATACCAGAAAGTTTCAGGTAAAGCGCTTGAGACCGTATCAGGTGGTTCGGCAGATTCCTCCACACCAAACCTGATCTCCATCTTTGCCGTGGCTCTGACCCCGGTTTCCCACTGCAAGCATCAGCGGAACGGAACGGCAGCGAAGCGGCACCGCTTCAAATAGAATCCGATTATAGTCTATGGAGTGTTTCAAACCAGCCGCGACTCTGGAATTTTCAGGCGCAAGCGGCATGCCGCGCCACTAAAGATAGGATCGAGTTCTATTTTTTCCACGAGCCGCTTCTGGGACACGTCAATTTCCGCAGTTCACATAGTGCGAGACAGGAAACCACACACGATTTCAGTGTAAAATCCCAGGTTATTTTCAAAATAAAATGCAACGTTGCAATGTTATCTATAATTACGTCAGCACGAGTGACCGAACGGCTTTGTTTACCACCTGTTTCTTTCGAGAAGTGCAACGTGATTCCTCACGGGGGTTGTGATCTCTCGATGAGGAAGATGTCGGAACTCTCGAAGGATATTAGAATCTCGCGAGTACAGCGAGGCGCAGCGAGGAACCCGTGCCGCGGCCAAGACTCTCCCGGTGTGATAAGGGCCGCTTTGAAGTTCGCGAGTGAGCCGCTTCGCTGCTGTTCCGTTCCGTTGATGCTTGCGGTGTGAAACCGGGGTAAGAGAACGCTGTGATCTAGTAGGAACAGAAGATGACAGTAAGACTGACCTGGTGACAGTGTGGGTTGGATTCTCTGCCGTATGAGTACGAACTCCGCTCCGATTTACCTGCAAAGGCAAGAAATCACGGTGAGGTTAGTAGCCAGAAGTAGGAGGTTACGTCAGAATCAAATCGCTAATGACGATTTCAAGTATTTAGCTAAAAACTCTGATTCTACTGTAGCTGACACCGACGTTTTAAGGAAAACTCTGGGTCAGAAACACTAAACACTAGTTCAACTTCCTTCTGTCCAAATGTCTAACCGTCAGGTTATGGAGATGAAATGAATAAGACATCATATTCACTCACTGATGAAGAAACCTAATATCGTCTACTAGACATACAAATAGTTATTTCAACCCACCAAAGCGTTGCATCAGAAGCCATAACAAAACCAGAGGAAATAAATACCAAGTGGTGTGAATAAAGCCATGAAAAACAAAAGTAATCTAATGATCTTAACCAGTTATTAAATCAGAACGGTGCATTATTTCACAGGTGTTCAACTTACAGAAAAAATGAGCATCAGTAGTTTTTAGCAACAAAACAGAAACACCTGATAAGTACACCGAAACCACTTTTAATCAACTATTACTGCTTCTTTTTGGGGTACTTTCTGTTTCTTGAAAAGATAATTACATTCAGTTTCAATCAATCATCATTTCTACAACACTTTCACAGAATGACTGAAGTGCTGAACATCAGTTTGACCAGGAAAAAAATAGCTAAGTTGTACTGATGTACTTCCTGAAATTTATATGTGTGTTTATATGTATGTATATATATATATATATATATATATATATATATATATATATGTATATACATACATTTAAATGTATATGTATATATGTATATAAATATATATGTATATACATATATTCATATACATATTTACTATATATACATATATACATATATATGTATATATGTATATATATATATATATGTATATATATATATATATATATATATATATATATATATATATATATATATATATATATATATATATATATGCACACGAGCTTCACACTCGGCTGAGAACTTTTCCGGCAAAAGCTAGAGATTAATCAATCAAACTTTATTATGACAAATGCATCCCCCCCAAATCCCACAACCCATTTCCTAAGGAACACGTAACAAGTACGCCCCCCCCCCCCCCACACACACACACGAACGAACAACAAATACACACACACAAAAACTTGAAAATTTTTTTTTTAAAATATCGTAAGTAAACACTAGGCCAAGTTCAGATGGGTTAGGTAACGAATGGCACGCCATCAGGTGAGCCATCTGCCTCGGTAGTAGTCGATCGACGGCAGCAGCAAAAGCACCAGCCCAGGGCTCCCAGGAAGGTAGGGCGAAAACCCCCCATCACCGCCTAAGCACTCCCCGAGGTGCGCCCAGGTCGCCACAGTCGGCCACCACCCCCGAGGCAGAGGGTCTCACACAGGAAAACACTGGCACAAACAAATAAGTAACACAAAAAATAATAAGAGCTATTATGGATAGTAAAATAACTAAAAAAGGAATTCAAAGATAGTAAAACACTAAGGCATAAATGTCTAATAAAACTCAAATGTAAATAATAAAATTCAAATAAAACAAGCAATGCAGCTAAAAACAGATATTAATTAATAGCTATGGTAAAAAGGTGAGTCTTAAGCCTGCTCTTAAAAGCATGAACATTCTCTACGACCCTGAGGTCCTCTGGCAGCCTGTTCCAGAAACGAGGGCCCTACATTTGGAAAGACGCCTCGCCATGGGTGTGTGTCCTGACTTTTGGAATCACAAGGAGACGGCTGCCAGAGGAGCGCAGAGTTCGCAAGGGTCCGTAAGGTAAAAGCAGTTCCGAAAGATAAGAAGGCCCAAGACCATTAAAACACTAAAAACCATTAAGAGAACCTTAAAACCGATCCTGAAACATACGGGGAGCCAATGCAGCAATTCTAAAACTGGTGTAATGTGCTCCCGCCTCCTGGTCTTCATCAGGACACGAGCTGCAGAGTATTGTAAGAGTTGTAAACCTGAGATGCTCTTTTTGGGAAGAGCAGAAAGCAGGGCATTACAGTAGTATATTCTACTGGTGATAAAAGCGTGCATCAGCATCTCAGTATTGGCCCAAGAGAGAATAGGGTGGACTCTGGCGATGTTCTTTAACTGATAAAAACCTATTTTTGTGATGTTTTTAATGTGTGGGATAAAAGTCAGCTCAGTCGAAAGTCACACCCAGGTTCTTCACTTGTTCAGAAGGATTAAAAGACATTGATTGTACTTTTAGTAAAAGTTTCCCTCTCTGGGCCTCAGGACCGATGACTAAAACTTCAGTTTGGTCCTGGTTGAGCTGGAGAAAGTTTTCTGCCATCCAGGATTTGATTTCTAAAATGCAGTTTAAAAGTGCATCCATTGGCTGTGTGTCATCAGGAGACACGGAGAAGTACAAGTGTGTGTCATCAGCGTAGCTGTGGAAATTCACCCCATGTCTCCTGATGACCCCGCCAAGAGGGAGCATATAAAGGTTAAAAAGCACTGGGCCTAAAATTGAACCCTGGGGCACACCACATGTGATCCAATGAACCCTAGAAGAGCAGGTATCCAAACTCACCATAAAAGTCCTGTCTGTGAGGTAGGATGTAAACCATCTGTGAACAGCACCAGAGAGGCCGATCTGTTTTAAACGAGCTAAAAGAGCAGTGTGGTCTACTGTGTCAAAGGCAGCGCTAAGATCCAGTAGAACCAACACTGTTACCCTTCCGGCATCATAACTTACCCTAAAATCATTTAAAATCTTCAGAAGGGCTGTCTCCGTGCTGTGGTTCACCCTAAAACCAGACTGAAATTTCCCTTGGACATTATGAGTATTGACAAAATTACTAAGTTGAATTAAAACAAGTTTTTCTAGAAATTAGCTTAAAAATGGTAAATTGGGATACCGGTCTGAAGTTGTTTAAATCATTAATTACAGGTGCTGGCCAGTAAATTAGAATATCATCAAAATGTTGAAAATATTTCAGTAATTCCATTCAAAACGTGAAACTTGTACATTATATTCATGCAATGCACACAGACCAATGTATTTCCAATGTTCATTACATTTAAATTTGATATTCATAAGTGACAACTAATGAAAACTCCAAATTTGGTATCTCAAAAAATTAGAATATTCTGAAAAGGCTGAATATAGAAGACACCTGCTGCCACTCTAATCAGCTGATTTACTCAAAACACCTGCAAAGGCCTTTAAAAGGTCCCTCAGTCTTGTTTTGAAGGCACCACAATCATGGGGAAGACTTCTGACTTAACAGCTGTCCAAAAGACAATCATTGACACCTTGCACAAGGAGGGCAATACACAAAAGGTGATTGCTAAAGAAGCTGGCTGTTCGCAGAGCTCTGTGTCCAAGCACATTAACAGACAGGCAAAGGGACGGAAAAATTGTGGTAGAAAAAAGTGTACAAGCTCTAGGGATAACCGCACCCTGCAGAGAATTGTGACGACAAACCCATTCAAAAATGTGGGGGAGATCCACAAAGAGTGGACTGCAGCTGGAGTCAGCGCTTCAAGAACCACCACGAGGAGACTCATGAAAGACATGGGATTCAGGTGTCGCATTCCGTGTGTCAAGCCACTCTTGAACAAGAAACAGCGCAAGAAGCGTCTCGCCTGGGCCAAGGACAAAAAGGACTGGACTGATGCTGAGTGGTCCAAAGTTATGTTTTCTGATGAAAGCAAGTTCTGCATTTCCTTTGGAAATCAAGGACCCAGAGTCTGGAGGAAGAGCGGAGAAGCACAGAATCCACGTTGCATGAGGTCCAGTGTAAAGTTTCCACCGTCAGTGATGGTGTGGGGTGCCATGTCATCTGCCGGTGTTGGCCCACTCTGTTTCCTGAGGTCCAGGGTCAATGCAGCCGTCTACCAGGAAGTTTTAGAGCACTTCATGCTTCCTGCTGCTGACCAACTTTATGGGGATGCAGACTTCACCTTTCAACAGGACTTGGCACCTGCACACAGTGCCAAAACCACCAGCACCTGGTTCAAGGACCATGGTATCCCTGTCCTTGATTGGCCAGCAAACTCGCCTGACCTTAACCCCATAGAAAATCTATGGGGTATTGTGAAGCGGAGGATGCAATACGCTAGACCCAACAATGCAGAGGAGCTGAAGACGACTATCAGAGCAACCTGGGCTCTCATAACACCTGAGCAGTGCCACAGACTGATCGAGTCCATGCCACGCCGCATTACTGCAGTTATTGAGGCAAAAGGAGCCCCGACTAAGTATTGAGTGCTATACATGCACATTCTTTTCATGTTCATTCTTTTCAGTTGGCCAACATTAGAGAAACAAACATTTTTTCATTGGCCTTTAGAATATTCTAATTTTCTGAGATACCAGATTTGATGTTTTCATTGGTTGTCACCTATAAATATCAAAATTAAACGTAATAAACATCGGAAATACATTGGTCTGTGTGCATTGCATGAATATAATGTACAAGTTTCACGTTTTGAATGGAATTACTGAAATATTTTCAACCTTTTGATGATATTCTAATTTACTGGCCAGCACCTGTACTGTCTGATGAAGCCAACAGAACCACATCATCTGCAAAAAAACAGAGACCAGGGGGCCTCGTGTATCAACCGCACTTATGAACAGATCTGTGCGTATATGGTGCGCAGGAGCTAATGTACACGTTCTGTGGTATTCATGATGTTGTACCTGAGTGTGGAAATGTTCCTAAACATCAGAAAACTTCAGACCGTGCGTAGGAACAGCATCTAGTGGTAGAACGATGGAACCACCACTGTGTATGAAGTACAAACCTTTTATTTAAATACTGGGAAATGTTGGGAATGAAAGAAAGTACAATTGGACTCAGCCCTCAAGTTTGATGCATAAATCAACCAAGTTGTGCGATCGTGCATTTTTAACTTGCGCCTACTGGCCAGAATTAAGCTCCTGCTGTCCAGAGTGCATCTAGAGTCTGTCACCCATGCTTTTATTCTACCAAGGCTTGACCACTGCCATGCATTGTATGCCGGCCTGAGTCAGGGCATG